AATTTTTGTGATAAGATGTCTGGAATCAGGTTGGCTCTTGAGTATTTCGTAGTATTTTGTCGTCCCGTGCTCCGACGGTAGAGTTGCAAAATCTTTAAACTTGGATTGGATGTAATGACTGACCTGCAGATATCTATAAAAGTGTGAATGTGGCAGATTATATTTCTCTTTTAGTTGACCAAATGAAGAAAATTTATCATCAATATACATATCCTTAATATAAAACCCTTTTCTCTCCAGACATGATAAGTCTTATCTTGCCAAGGGGGCACAAAATCATGATTAAAACATATTGGCGTCTGTACAGATGTGTCTGGCAGTTCCAAAAAAACTTCTAATCTGATTCAAGATTCTACTGGTTTGTTTCAATACAAAACCCAGACATTTATAAAAGTCTAATTTTTCAAACTTGGTAAATAACAACAAGAAAGCCTTACATTTAAATCAATGTTATTTATACTGAACCAAATTATTACAGGCGTCCTTTACATGTGAAGCTCTTGATCTCTCAAAATTATACAGGGAAACTCAGTATTGTCTTCCACTATGATCCTGTACCTATCCCCCTGCAGGTGGAAGTGCGAGTGGAGGAGTCAGAGAGGATGCGAGTAGTCAGTTCAGTCTGCACCTACATTGTTTTTCAGTGCAGTCGTCCTCCTCCTCTTCACTCCAGAGATCTGCACTCCATCATTGTTGCTGCCTTCCAGTGTCTCAATGTCTGGTTAACACAACATCCCACACTGCTTGGCCATAAGGTAACTGACCAGACCAACTAACCACGATGTATCAAAGAGATATCTAACTGCCAGATGACTGACCAGCAGGTGAACATCCATGCGCTTTATTTAGTGTGTGTTTTATTTGACTTTATTCAGGAGTGTTTGTTGGAGGTCCTGGAGATCGTGGAACTTGGGATTTCAGGCAGTAAGTCTAGACAGGAACAAAAAGTGAGATGTAAAGAGGAGAAAGACCAAAACCCAGCCTCTCTGAGGGTGAAGGAGGCAGCTGAGGCCACACTTAGCTGGTGAGCATCACAGTAACAATAACATTAAGATTGTAGAGATTATAGAAACCAATCATTTTGCATATAAGATCTGACTTAGTTTATATCATGCATTTTGGTTGCTTCTTAACAAGCAACAGGAACAAAAACAGAATTTTGACATGAATTGCTTCGAGGATTTATGTCATTTCAAAAATCTGTTACTGTTCATCAAAGGTGTGGTAGAAGACTGTCAGCCCCAAAAACGGTTATTGTTTAAACATTTCATCGTAGAAAGCTTTCTGATCCTGGATATACTTTCAGTCTGACTGAATCTCCTTTTATTGCTCTTCACACACATGACACAGATGCAATGGAGACAAATGAGTCAAATAATGTTCATGAAGCTGGCAACAATGCATTATTTTACTACAAGTTCAGTCATATTGAGTTCAATTCAGTTTTATTTATATAGCGCCAAATCACAACGACATGCTTACTGTAAGGTAAAGACCCTTAATTGGTGTATTTGTCCTACCCTACTATCCCTGTCTCTATGTCTATATCTATATATGTATCATAAATTAGCTGTGTGGAGCAGGCAGGATCAGACCCAAATGCAGACTCGTTAGGCAGGACTTAACACAAGAACACAGCTTTATTGCTGGAATGTCAAAGAAATACAAAACTAACCTAAACTGGGAATACTGGGAATAATCTAAGCACACACAGAAACACAAAGCCAGGAATGAGGAATATCGCAAAAACGGACAGAGGGAAACAGAGGGCTTAAACACACAAGGAATCATGAGGGAACGAGAAACAGGAGGGAAACACAGCGGAGCTAATCAGACAGGATGAGACAGAGGAAGCAAAACTGAACATAAAACACATGAGACGAGGTACCTCTAAGACAGGAAATTACCCAGAACCATGACAAATATGTGTGTAACAAACCTGCATGTATGCATATTAACCTGGATAAAAGAGACGCATTAAAAATGCAACAATGTAGCATTTTCATTCT